ATGACTAAGCACTTTACAAGTGCTGTTTGACAGCACTGTCCATGGGCCCTTCCATTGATAAGGTGGTAACTAGCTGGATTGGATTTGTCCATCTTTTTATGCATAGGACATACCTAGGAAGCATTCTTCATAGTCAGGTAGACACCAGTAATTGCACTGACACAGCTTGGTTAGAGGTGCATCTAATTCTGAGGAACAGATCTTCAATGCTATTGCCACAATGTTGTCAGGGCCCATAGACTTTGCATTATCCAGAGTCTTCAGCCACTTCTTGAAATTGTGTGCAGTGAATCAAATTGGCTGAAGACTAGCATCTGTAATGCTGGGGACCTCCAAACAATTATGCACTCAGCACCTCTGGCTGAATATGAATGCAAATGCTTCAGGGTTGTTTACTATAATGGAATGCTGGGCTCCCTGATCATTACGAATGGAGATATTTGTGGAGTGTCCTCCTCTTGTTATTTGCTTAATTGTCCATCGTTATTCATGACTGGATGTGGAAGCACTGCAGAGGACAAATTTGATCTGTTGCTTCTTGAATTCCTTAGCCCTGTCTGTTGGATGTTGTTTCCGCTGTTTATCATACAAGGAGTCCGATGTTGGATCTCAACTGGGTTGACAGCTTATTTTTAGATATGCCTGGTGCTGCTCTCAATTTGCCCTCCTGCACTGTTCATTGAACCAATTTTGATCTCATGGTTTGATGGTATTAGTAGAGTGGGGGAATATGTCGGGCCATGGGTTTATAGATATAGAATTAGAGTTGATACAATTCTGATGGCCCATAACACATAGATGCCCAGTTTTGTTGCTAGATCTGTTTGAAGTCTGTCCCTTTAGTATAGTGGTAGTACCACATAAAGGATATTCTGAATATGAAAACAGGACCATGTCACCTTGAGGACTATGCAGTGGTCATTCTTACCGATACTGGGATAGATAGATGCATCTAAGACAGTTAGATTCATTAGAATGAGATTAAATATGTTTTTCCCTCTTGTTGGTTCTATCACTTGCCTTAGACTCAGTCCAGTAGTGATATCCAGCTCAGTCAATAGTGGTGCTACCGAGCTGTCCTGGTGGTGGTCTGAGGATTAGTCCGACTTAGCACTTCTGGTAATGTTTATACATAGTTATAGGGTTCATTAAGTTAAATCAAGTAAAATTAATTTGATGTAAATGAACCAATAATAATGTTAACCTAAGTGTAATAAAGTTAAGGTGCAGCACGACAGCTTTGTTGCGTGGAACTTGTGTGCTGTTGGGGGACATTGTGGATGCTGCCAGGAAGCTAGACAACTACTTGTGCCAGAAGTGTCCCCATCTGCAGAAACTTGATCTGCAGGCTTCAGAGGTCTAACAGGCCTCGAATCACTGCGAAGCATATGTGAAGCTGAGAGCCATGTGGACAGCACATGCAAAGAAGTAGCCACACCACAGAATAGGGTTATGAAGGCAGAAAGGAAATAGCAGAAAGAGAACCAGACATCAAGTACGGAACTCCCCTGAGGCCCTGCTCACCTGTCCAGACCGTACATTTAGTGCAATTACATTTCTCCAAACATGTCTAGTCTACTCAAACCCTGCATAAGACATCACCTCATTCCAGAATAAACCTGGTTGAAGTCCCTCTACGGCAAGAATATCTTTCCTGTATAAGGAAATGCAAAACTGTGCGGAATTCTTCAATAGAGGTAACAAGGTGCAGAGCTGGATGAACACAGCAGGCCAAGCAGCATCAGAAGAGCAGGAAAGCTGACGTCTC